TCTATGCATGGGATAAGCACACAACCTGTGTTCAGAGGCTTTGCAGTCGCAGGTTCGAGTCCCGGCCTGTTGACCTTTGCTGCATTTCTTCTCTCTCTCTAATCCCATTTCCTGTATGCATACTTTTAAGAATAGTGAAATAAAAGCCACTAGAGAAAAAATTTAAATAATAAATCTACAGATCTTTAGCTGCATAAAAAGATTTTTAAACAACGGCAGATTTTCAGGAGCAGCTGAAGGTGAACAGCTGTGATATTCGTCCTGTTTTGAACCCCAGAGAAAAGAAAACCAGCTGAAGGTTTGGGAGGAGGACTGGGAACATCACAAGAGTATTTATGGCTGACTGAACAAAGGTAGGACTAACGAGCTGATGAGGAGCAGGTGTGACTAGAGCTGATGAGGAAGCCAAGGGAAAAGAACACAAGGGGGCAGCAGAGGACAGACAAAGACAAACCTAAGCAACTTAAATTAATCTGGAACACACCAATAAAGCTAGAAAACAAGGAAAAACCTGGATGAACCTGAAACTGAAAACTTAGAGAAACAACAGAACCAAGATCGTTACACTCAGATCTCTTTTGTGTTGGGAAATTTATATTTCTCTTATTTCCTATATTGATTTATGCTTTTTACTCTCAAAAAAGATTTATTTCAGTTTGTTTTGCCTGCAAGGCCACAAAATGCCTGAGTAAGGGCTGTTTTTATACAAGACATTCTTATTCCCATAACAAGCCAGATTCTTTCTCTAGTTTTATTTATGGCATCTTACTGTTTAACCAAAGTGTTGAACGCTGCCCAGGCAGAACAGGGCTGATTACCGCGCAATAAGGGCCGTATGATGAACTCTTCTCTCTTTGGAAGATGAAATAAAATGCCGACTGAGTGAAATCCATCGATCAACGTTTATTTAACTGGAAAAAATAGCTGAATAGTTTTTTCCCATGACACATTTTTAATGAAATAAGTTGCAGCCTGATGCTCTGGGTTGCATTTAGACTCTGAATGAGCAGAAACCCTAATCAACTCATTTATTCGGTAGTTATCAGAGCATTATTCCTCAGGCTTCCGACCTGGGCTGAAGCGGATGTCAGAAATAGCGTCTTTGCGATGGTGGAAGCTCAGCAGGTCCTCCAGCGTGTCTGCGTTCACCACCAGGACGCCGCCGTCGCTGAGTCCCACCGCCAACGCTTTCCCATCAGGAGAGAAGGAGCAGCAGCGGCCGCCTGGACGGACAACCAGAGAGAGAGAGAGAGAGAGGAGATCAGAGCAAGTTTTCAGTTCTAGTCCAAGTCCTGATGGTGGGCTCAGGTCCAGACCATCTGGTTCTGACTGTTTCCACAGATGATTTGAGTCATGCAGCAGAACAACAGCAGCAGCATCAGAGCTGAAGAACGCTTGGAGAGAAGGAGAACTTTTCCTGAAAGCGCGTTCACGAGTCAACGGAAACCGCGGCAGACCAAACCAGATGAAAGTGCGCATTCAGCGTCTGCTCTGCCGATAATGCAAGCGTAGAAGAAGAAATGTGCTGTTTACCTGTGCAAAGAAAGAAACAACGAAAGAAAAATGTCTGAGGACTTCAGTGTTGAGGAAGAGCATGAGTTCTTTGCCGAGCTGAATGCGCTGGTTTGGTCTGCCGCGGTTTCCGTAGACTCGTGAACGCGCTTTCAGGAAATCCTATACACTACTGTTTATGCTCTAAAAACATTCTAAATGACTTCGTTTCGAGTAAATTCTGGACGCTACCCACTCAGGACACTTGGAATACATTGGACGAGCAGTATGGAGGAATATTGACACGTTTTTTGTGGACTTTTATGGACCTTTCTGCCTCGGGCGCCATAGACCTCCATTATTTGAATGTCAGCAGACAGCAAGAAGCCTCCCAGATCTCCAGATGCATTTGAGATATCAAAAAAGTACTCCAGAGTGTTGTTCAGCATGGGGGTGAGTAGAAAATGAAGGCTAATCATGTTTTGGGTGTACTATTCCTTTAAACAGAGACTAGCTCATCCTAAAGACCTAATCTAAACCAGGGCAACAATTCCCTCTAATGACCCCCCTTTCAGAGACATAGACAGGTATGGGGCATTGCAGGCTAACAAAGAAGCCAAACGACTCCCATTCCAAAGCTTTGTTGGGCTGCTGGATAAAACGTGGAACTAAACGCTATTTCTGACATCTTGAAGTGAAAAATCTTCCTGGATGGAAGAGAAACGTCTTCAGATTGGAAACTAAGTCCAGTGGATTGTTTTTTTTTAACTTTTTTGGAATGTCACATGATCTAAATAGTGTGTAAAAGGGGGCGTGGCCACGGCTCTGACCTCTCTTCAGCTTCCGGACGGCCACCATGCGGTGATTGGCTGACGTCTCCCACAGACAGAGGGTTTTATCGTCGCTGACGGTGACACAGACGGGAAGGAGAGGATGGGCGGCCAGACCCCACACCTCTCCTTCCATGTGACCCTGAACAGCAGAATCATAGGCACATGTTTAATAAAAGATTAATCCAATAAACAACCTAATCTTTCAGATTTAAAAAATCTTTATCATATTACTAAGAATATTCTAATATTATTCAATGTTTTTATTTTGTATATTCTTTACAAACATGTTTAGATATTTATTATAAAGGGATAGATATAAAACCTGATTATTTTCACATTAAAGTATTTTATTGTATTTTCCAAGAGAGAAGCAGAAGCATAAACCTCCCTCAGCAGGTGGATCCAGCTAAATGTTTTCCATCAGTGTTTCTGTCCGGTTCTGCTCAGAGTTCCAGCAGAGCGGAGCGTCAAAGGTAAGGAAAACCCACCTGCACCAGCAGGGTCATGGGTCCGGTCTTGTCTATCTCCAGAACTTCTCCGTTTTTGGTTCCCACCAGGATGTGACCGTGACCCAGACTGATGGCTCTGATGGACGGGTTGTCCTCCAGCAGAAGGCCTGTTCACACACAGAGGAACTCCATTCAAGCTAACAGACTTTCCTGGACGTTCAGAATGAACGTTGGAAAACCAGAGAGTCAGCGAACAGCTTCCATCTTTGGATTAAACCTCAGACGTTTTCTCAGCTGAAAAAGTATTTTTCTAATGTCTGGCACCATTTTATACCTTTAATATTACTGAATCTCTGCTGTGGATAATTATTAACACTCAGAGACATGTCACAGTTTGTCCACAGGAGGGCAGTGTTGCATTGCTTAAAGACAGATGGAGGGTTGAGGGGAGTTTCATAAATGATTCAATGACTAAATATGGCATCTTGGTTTCAGCATTAGTGTAAAAAACAGCAAAATCTCCATAAGAGCTTTGAAAATGGTTTTTCCTCATCCATCCATCCATCCATCCATCCATCCATCCATCCATCCATCCATCCATCCATCCATCATCCATCCATCCATCCATCCATCCATCCATCCATCCATCCATCCATCCATCCATCCATCCATCCATCCATCATCCATCCATCCATCATCCATCCATCCATCCATCCATCCATCCATCCATCCATCCATCATCCATCATCCATCCATCCATCCATCCATCCATCCATCCTCACCTTTAGACCCTGCGGACAGAGCCGTCCTCTTGATGGCGTAGGTTTTCAGGCAGCGGTCAAACATGTCGTCCCACAGCTCCACCACTCCATCCTTCCCTCCCGTCACAAAACCCTGAAACCAGAAGTTTGACTGTGAGAAAAACAGAGAGTTGAGGAGCAGCCGCTGCCTTGGACTGATGAGTGGAAACATTTACATCCTCACAACCTTTTTTTTTTATTTATCTTACTTCTTATCGATGACAAACAAACAGATGCAGCATAAACCTCAGTCTGTTTTTAATTCTTATTATAACCTTTATCAATCAAACAGGAGGAGAGTTTCAGCATCTTCACAGATGAAGTTTGTTGATTTTAAGAATCAGAGAGAGAAGAAAACCAATTGTACATCATATCCTAGAAACAGCCCCTAACCACCTGTCACTCTAAACTCTAGATGATCAGGATCTGATTTGAAATTAAACCGATTCCTGGATCATATATCTATAGATCTGATCTGAGTCTGTGCCTCCAGATGACTCTAACTGAACCAGTGGATACAGAACGGCCTGGGAGCTCCGTCATCAGGCGGATCCTGCTCACCTTGTCCAGGGACAACATGGCGAACACCGGCCCGTCATGAGCTTTCACCGTCTTCAGCAGCACCGGCTCCTTCCAGATGTAAACGTCTCCGGTGGCGGCTCCAGAGAACACCAGCGCCTCGGTGCGTCCGTAGCACACCGACATCATGGTCTCTGGACGGCCCATGCCCCTGAACGCACCACGCCTGAAGGTCAGGCCCCCGCCTGCCGTACAGTGGAGGAAGAACATAAATGGAACCTGAACAGATGGTAAAGTTTCTGCAGAATGCTAGAAAATGTTAATAGTTTATCTGAAACGGAGCTGATTGCACTGATGTAGAGGCTTTGATTAAAATAGTCTATAAACTGCTTTCTAGTAGAATTAAACTTTTTATGGTTTATTTAATTTTCTTGCCTAAATTAGATGTTTTTAATAGATATGATGTCAAACTCAGAGGAAGTTGCTGGAATCTTTGAAGCCTCTTTAAACAGTTAAAAGTTTATCTAAACAGATTTTATAGAAGCTGCAGAGGATGAAATGCATAATAACACTAAAACTGTTTCTACTGAGTTTTACGTTTCTATTGACTCTTCCACTGCAATTTTGTACTTATATAAATCATTATGTTAAAAATAACAGGAATTAATTCTGTCAATGCTAAAACATGTTTCCTTCGTTGTGTACAACATCTATTCAATTCTATTCAGTTTATTTCTATAGCTCCAATTCACATCATGTCATCTCAGGTCACTTTCCAGTTCACCAGATCATCCAGTCAGATTGATTCAAAGTTTTCTATCTAAGGAAAACCAGCTGATTGCATCGACTCATTGACTCTTCAGCAATCCCTCACACTAAGCATGCTTGTAGCGACAGTGGAGAGGAAAAACTCCCTTTGAACAGGAAGAAACCTCCAGCAGAACCAGGCTCAGTGTGAGCGGCCATCTGCTGAGGCCCACTGCGGTTCAAGGAGACAGAAGAAGACATAGAAAAAGAAGCATAGATACAAAAGGCAACTGTCAACCAGCTCCACAGGCGGCCCCGTCCAGGAAACACACAGCCAGGCAGACGAGCTCCGAGAAACATGCCGTCTCAGATTTGGACCGGGTAATCAACATGATGATCCAACAGAAGCATTAGTTTGGTTCATTATTTATAGATGTTGGAGCTTGGCCTGTTTTCCAGTGTAGTCCTGTTTCTCTGACTGTGACTAACTGGATGTGCTCTCTTCATCCTCTGACATGGGAGCTGGCTCGGAGCTCGTGAATTGAAATGAATTTAAGATCAATGTTTTTTATAGGTACTCTACAAAAGCTCAAAACCTGAAGTCTGACCTGAGTTTTATTTGGTTGGACTAATGAATGTCGGGTTAAATCTGGGATGAGTTTAAGCTCCATTTTCAGCTTCATTTACTGATTTAAGACGAACAGAAGTTTGATTAAACTGGAACTAAAGAAGAAACAAGCAGATCTTCTGTGTGTTTTCTAAGACGGCGTCTTCCAGAACACCAAACTGTGAGGACCGTCGGCTCCTTGGACATAATATGTATGTTTGCTGCTTTGATATCAGAGTAAAAACAATTGTTCTGGATTTAGCATCGACTTGAAGACCGTTTTTATTGGAGTGAGGACATTCTGCTTGTCCAGTTAATTGAGCTTAGGCTCAGGTTAAGTTTAGGTTTGCTTTGGTAATGGTTAGAGGAGGGGTTAATGTCAGGATGAGGGCAGAAAGGGAGGAAGATGACTGAAAATCAATGGAGGTAAAGACGTTGTTAACTTACAGGTATTTGTACCAACCAGCAGGAGGCAAGTATAGGACTGAGGAGTTTAGGTTAGATTTAGCGTTATGAGTTAGTAATGGGTAGAGTTAGGGTAAAGGTCCTGGTTAGGCCATAGAAAGGAACGGAATTCAAAGAAAATCCCCATAAGAATAGAAAAACACATTTTACATCAGACTGTTTAAGAAATAAAATAAATGCAAAATAATTTAATTGGTAAAGTTTTACCTGCAAGTTGCCAGAACTTGATGTGTTTGATTCCCACAGTGACCAGTTTGTCCATCAGACTGGGGTTACACTTCACCACAAAGATCTTCTCCTTATGTCCCCTGAAACAGGAGAGGACAGGTGAGGACGGGTCCTCTGTCTGCGCCGCCTATTCCCGTCTCATTAGTGTGAATCAAAGAAGCAGAGCTGCTGTTTGGTTCGATCCCAGAGGAACGGAGAGATAAATCTAAAAATAGAAACGAACTGGTCCCGAAATGAATTAGCTTTGCTCTAAAAATAAAACTCCTCGTCTATAATTGATCATTTTAGAAGAAAGTCTTTCAAACTAAAAATGTTTAAACAAGAAAAAGGTTTCAAGTTTTGTTTTATGATTAAAATAACATATTTTTAATCAAAACCAGACAGGTTGTTCTATTTCGAGCAGGTAAAGGTCCAATGGTACTAAAAGCAGAACTGAAGGGAAATATTTAAAGGAAAAGTCAAACTTCTAAAAGTTCTTTAAATCTGAAATGATTCCATCCTGTTCAATAAATGATCAGTGTTTTTAATTCAGAGTAATTTTCATGTGAATGTGCTTTACTGGAGGCATCCATGTTTGTCAAAGAACACTACTGCCACCTACTGGTTAGTGACATTGTCACGGTGCGGTATCGGCTGTTGATCAAGTCCCAGTGCTGTATCTGGTGTTTGTCACAACGCGCTATTATCCAAGTCATCTTGAAAACATTCTTCTTCCAAATGTTGGCTACATATTACGGGTTTTTTCTCTGGCCAGAAGTTCGATGGCAAATCCTCCCTCTTCAAGTTGGCGATCCAACGACCAACCCGTCCGTGGAGGATCAGGAATCAGAAAGCTGGAATAACTCTTTTTTTTCACTTTTACCCGATGTATTCCAGCATCCAGCTGCCATGCACGTGGGCATTGTCAGTTTCCAGAGATGGGAAGTAACGAAGTACAAATACTTCGTTACTGTACTCAAGTAGATTTTTCTGATATTTTTACTTTACTTTACTACTTATTTTTTATGGCGACTTTTTACTTCTACTCCTTACATTTTTACACAAATATCTGTACTTTCTACTCCTTACATTTTAAAAAATTGGCTCGTTACTTTAGTTTTGAATCATTTCAATGGAGTTACCGTTATTATTTTTCACGTCATCAATACCAAATTCAATCTAATTGGATGGGAATCTACGTTGCATTTGACGCACCACTACAAGATGAATGGACAGATTCGGCGGTATTCATTGGCGGCAAATCATTGCAGCTTGGTGGCGGTGGCGTTAGCATAGTAGCATGGACGACGAGATGATTGAAAATGAACACAACGGAGATCTAGTCCTATTGGCAGACATCCATTTAAAATGTAGGCAACGGCATGAAAAAAGTGGTTTCTACTTTTACTTTTATACTTTAAGTAAATTTACAAGCCTGTACTTTGTTACTTTTACTTGAGTAAAGAAGTTTAATCAGTACTTCCACTTTTACCAGAGTATTTTTTAACACAAGTATCTGTACTTTTACTCAAGTACGGAAAGTGAGTACTTTTGCCATCTCTGTCAGTTTCACTATAGCTCTGGTGAATTTCAATGGTGAAGTCCTCTGGAAATCTTCAATAATTGTTGTTGATTGCAGATGTGTCTAGTAGTTCCCATTGATTTAGCTTGGAAAGCGGGGAGAATGGCGCTAGGCTAACCGCACCGTGACATCACTGCTGGAAGATGGCAGGAGGGAGGGGCTACTAGATTTGGGCAAAAATGGCTGCTCCCAGACTTTTATATTTTTTTTTACTGATTAACACTAAATTCATAAAATCACTGCAGATGTATTAGTTTTTGGTATAAATAATGATCCATTGGTTTTTCCTTGCTGATCAAACTTTTCCTTTAACTGTAGCAGGTGGATGAATTATACTTTAAACTCGTCGTTGGATGTTTTTGGGTTTTCAGTACCGAGCCGTAGCCAGTTTCTCTCCTCGCTTCCAGTCCCAAACGACGATGGAATGTCCGTCATCCACTCCGACGGAAACCAGACTCTTTCCATCAGCTGGGAGGACAAACAGAGGAGAAGGGAGCATCACAGCAGAGGCTAATGAAGGGTGAAAGGTCACACGGGTTCAGCCATCTTAATCCAGATCTCTGCTGCAGTGACAGGAGATGTCGGTTATAAAATCACTGACCTAACCTCCAGAAAAGATTTAAAACCAGCAGAGAATTCATCACTCAGAAGTCAGATAGAGTTTTATTTTTAACCTTTGTTAAGAAGTTATCAACCTGGGGGAAAAAAAATCTTAACAGTTTTAGTCAGACATGCTTAATAACCAAGAAGACAAAGTGATTTTAAAATTATTACTACATCTTTCTACAATACGGAATAAGAGAATAAGCTTCACTTTTAGGAAAAAAAAACCTTGAATGGGTCATGGTAAAAAAGTATTCAACTATTCTACCAAGTTAAATAAACGGAGCTCGATGGATTTCACTCAGTCGGCATGTTATTTGATCTTTTCAAAGAGAGAACAGTTCATCATACGGCCATTATTGCACGGTAATCAGCCCTGTTCTAACTGAGCAGCGTTCGTTCCTCCTTAGTTACAATAAGTAACTAAGGAGGAACAATAATAGTCAAAACAAATTACAAACAGTAACGTTATGAATAAACCTTGAGAAATAATCTGGTTTATAATGAAAAGAAGGTGAAACAGAGTGAAAACGTTTATAATGAATAAATAGCATAAATCAATATATGAGATAAGACAAATCTAAAGTTTCCGACCACAAACGTTACCTGAGAAGTCCAGCGCACACACGCCTCTGTGATGGTGACCCCTAAGCAGCGACAGACACTTCAGGGTCTGGACGTCCCAAACGTGGACGGCTGGGTCTCTGCCCACCTGCAGACAGAGGATCAGGAAGGTTGTGGGACTGAAACCTTCAGATAAAAACCTGATGGCTCCGTTTTAATCAGAGAGGATAGAAGGAGGACGATGTGTCTGTTTGTTTGGGACCGAGAAGAGTTTTTCATCCCCGTTCCTAAATGGTGATTTCAAGCTCTGCTAATTAAAGGGTTCTGATGGCACTTTATAAAATGTCAGGATTGATGCATGGATGATCTGAAAATAAAAACTGCATCAGATGCATCCCTGATGATCCTGGAAATGCCTGCAGAGCTGAAGCAGCTAAAATGTAGCATGATGTATAAACAGTGCAGGGATTGGAGGAACTCCAGGATCAGACGGCTGGTGTCTGCTTCTGAGCGTTTGGACCACCTGTCCTGTTGCAGCGTAGTCCTTCAGCGGGTGGATGCTCAGGCTCAGGATGTCGTCATCATGGCCCAGGTAGAAACGCTGGCTGTGCAGCTGCCGGTTGTAAACCACACCCACCGCTGCCACATGGTAGACGACCTCGCCGCTCTGGGTGTAGAACAGGTTGTTCCTGCAGTCGTAACCTCGATATCTGCACACAGACACAACATACAGCTGATAAAAAGCAGCAGCGTTAGGAAGGGTCAAAGGAGACTAAATAAAAACATTTAAATTAACAGATGTATAACACTAAAGCATCGTTTAAAAAACATCTTCAGGATGAATGAGACCAATATAGATACGTTTGTTCCTAATGTAGCAACCCATGTTTGTAGAAAACAGACACAGCAACAGCACAAAAAGCTCAAACCAGCTGTAAAACACGGCAGTGGAGGGTGATCATGCGGGCTAATTTCATTTTTTTCAAGTGTTGCAACAGATTTTTTTTTTTTTTTTTTGGATCAGGACTTTGATTATTCCTGCTTAGATCAGATCCTTCCATTATATCTGACTGTTCAGCTGGATGGTCCTGCTGGAGGATCAACCTCCATCCTGGCCTCAGGTCTTCTGCAGCGTTTAGAGTGAGCTTTTAGGTCTGTCCATCTTCCATTTAGCTCCACTCATTTTCCTCATAGCTCCACATACTTTTCGTTTAGCTCCACCCATCTCCCCTTAGCTCCACCCATCTCCCCTTAGCTCCACCCATCTCCCCTTAGCTCCACCCATCGTACATGTAGTTCCACCCACATCTCCACCCATATTCTTTTATCTCTGTCAGGAATCCAGTTTGTGTGGTCTGTATTTTTTTTTTTTTCGTTTCCTCCTCCACCAGGTGGCGCCCCGTCCTCATTGGGCCTCCCTGCACACCTGCAGCTCGTTGCCTCATTACCTGAGGGCTCTTAAGCTGCTGACTGCCTCTACCTGGACGCCAGAGTGTTTGCCAGTTTGGGTACTCTAGCCAAGCTGAGTTTTGTTGAGTCAAACTGAGTTTTTGTCAACCTGAGTTTTAATCTTGTGTTTTTGCCTCTCGGCAGGAAGTCATCCTGCAAACTGCATGTTTTGGACCTTCTCCCCCTGGAAGGATTCTCTGAGCACCAAACCGAGCTGAGGATTCAACCTTGTGGTTTGGATCAACTTTTTCCCCCCAAGGATTGTCTGGGCTTCTCTCTGAGCAGGGGATTCATCTCCACAATAACCTGTTCAAGTACCGCAGGAAAACTAAGTGGCTTCAGCTTCTCCGTTCACCAAGGAGCAACCGCAATCTGGGTAAACCCTGTCCGCCCTCCAAAGAACAAGACATTCACTGGAACATCCCACACCGACTGGATTCAATAAGAAAATGTGAGTCGGCAACCTTAATTCCCTTCTTCAATCAAGAAAACACAAATTTCCCACTGAGCCTGAACTAACCGCAGAATCTTCCCCTTCTCTTTTCAGTCCCGGTTCGACAGTGTTCAGAGCAGCACTGGACTCCTCTCTTCTTGCTCTAAATAAAACTTTTCCTGCTCTCTCTGTTTGCTCTTCAGCATTTGTTTCAGATCTTTAGTTAAATCATTACAATCTCCACTAATCTTCTCATTAGCTCAAACCATTTTACAGTTAGCCCCACCCATATTTTATGAAGCTCCTAAGATATTGCCTTCAGCTCCACCCATCTTTTCTTTAACCCCACCCATCATTCTTTTAGATCCACCCATCTTCTCTTCTCCAAGCCGCTGCCTGGTCCCTGAAGAGAAATCCTTTCCACAGCATGCCATGATGCTGCCACCATCTTATGTTTCAAGCTGGAAGGTTTTCCGTTTCTCATAAACACAAAGGGGTTTGACGCAGGTTTCATTGTGAGTCCACCCGTCCAGAGGCTGAAGCTCGGTCCAAACCGGGTCAACGTTTCACCAAAGTTAAATAAACGGAGGTAAAACGGCTCCTCAACAGGATCCCAAACACAGAAGCAGATCTACGGCAGATTGGCCCAAGACCAGACTTTAAAGGAATAGTACAGGTGCTGGTCATAAAATTAGAATATCATGAAAAAGTAGATTGATTTCAGTAATTCCATTTAAAAAGTGAAACTTGTATATTATATTCATACATTACATACAAACTCATATATTTCAGATGTTTATTTTGGTTAATTTTGATGATTACAAATGACAACAAATGAAAATCTCAAATTCATCATATCAGAAAATTAGAATATTGTGAAAAGGTTCAAAATTGATGGCCCCTGGTGCCACACTCTAATCAGCTAATTAACTCAAACCACCTGCAAAAGCCTTTAAATGAGCTTTCAGTCTAGTTCTATAGGCTACACAATCATGGGGAAGACTGCTGACTTGACAGTTGTCCAAAAGACGACCATCGACACCTTGCACAAGGAGGGCAAGACACAAAAGGTCATCGCTAAAGAGGCTGGCTGTTCACAGAGCTCAGTGTCCAAGCACATTAATAGAGAGGCGAAGGGAAGGAAAAGATGTGGTCGAAAAAAGTGTACAAGCAAGAGAGATAACCGCACCCTGGAGAGGATTGTGAAACAAAACCCATTCAAAAATGTGGGGGAGATTCACAAAGAGTGGACTGCAGCTGGAGTGAGTGCTTCAAGAACCACCACACACAGACGTATGAAAGACATGGGTTTCTGCTGTCGCATTCCTTGTGTCAAGCCACTCTTGAACCACAGACAGCGTCAGAAGCGTCTTGCCTGGGCTAAAGAGAAACAGGACTGGACTGCTGGTGAGTGGTCCAAAGTCATGTTCTCTGATGAAAGTAAATTTTGCATTTCCTTTGGAAATCAAGGTCCCAGAGTCTGGAGGAAAAGAAGAGAGGCACTTCATCCACGTTGCTTGAAGTCCAGTGTAAAGTTTCCACAGTCAGTGATGGTTTGGGGTGCCATGTCATCTGCTGGTGTTGGTCCATTGTGTTTTCTGAGGTCCAGGGTCAACGCAGCCACATACCAGGAAGTTTTAGAGCACTTCATGCTTCCTGCAGCTGACCAACTTTTTGGAGATGCAGATTTCATTTTCCAACAGGACTTGGCACCTGCACACAGTGCCAAAGCTACCAGTACCTGGTTGAAGGACCATGGTATCCCTGTTCTTAATTGGCCAGCAAACTCTCCTGACCTTAACCCCATAGAAAATCTATGGGGTATTGTGAAGAAGAAGATGCAATACACCAGACCCAACAATTCAGAAGAGCTAAAAGCCACTATTAGAGCAACCTGGGCTATCATAACACCTGAGCAGTGCCACAGACTGATCGACTCCATGCCACGCCGCATTGCTGCAGTAATACAGGCCAAAGGAGGCCCAACTAAATACTGAGTGCTGTACATGCTCATACTTTTCATGTTCATACTTTTCAGTTGGCCAACATTTCTATAAATCCTTTGTTTTTATTGGTCTTCAGTAATATTCTAATTTTCTGATATGATGAATTTGAGATTTTCATTTGTTGTCATTTGTAATCATCAAAATTAAACAAAATAAACATCTGAAATATATGAGTTTGTATGTAATGTATGAATATAATATACAAGTTTCACTTTTTGAATGGAATTACTGAAATCAATCTACTTTTTCATGATATTCTAATTTTATGACCAGCACCTGTACACCCAAAACATGATTAGCCTTCATTTTCTACTCACCCCCATGCTGAACAACACTCTGGAGTACTTTTTTGATATCTCAAATGCATCTGGAGATCTGGGAGGCTTCTTGCTGTCTGCTGACATTCAAATAATGGAGGTCTATGGCGCCCGAGGCAGAAAGGTCCATAAAAGTCCACAAAAAACGTGTCAATATTCCTCCATACTGCTCGTCCAATGTAATCCAAGTGTCCTGAGTGGGTAGCGTCCATAATTTACTCAAAACGAAGTCATTTAGAATGTTTTTAGAGCATAAACAGTAGTGTATAGGATTTCCTGAAAGCGCGTTCACGAGTCTACGGAAACCGCGGCAGACCAAACCAGATGAAAGTGCGCATTCAGCGTCTGCTCTGCCGATAATGCAAGCGTAGAAGAAGAAATGCGCTGTTTACCTGTGCAAAGAAAGAAACAACGAAAGGAAAATGTCTGAGGACTTCAGTGTTGAGGAAGAGCATGAGTTCTTTGCCGAGCTGAATGCGCACTTTCATCTGGTTTGGTCTGCCGCGGTTTCCGTGACTCGCTTTCAGGAAATCCTATACACTACTGTTTATGCTCTAAAAACATTCTAAATGACTTGGTTTCGAGTAAATTCTGGATGCTACCCACTCAGGACACTTGGAATACATTGGACGAGCAGTATGGAGGAATATTGACACGTTTTTTGTGGACTTTTATGGACCTTTCTGCCTCGGGCGCCATAGACCTCCATTATTTGAATGTCAGCAGACAGCAAGAAGCCTCCCAGATCTCCAGATGCATTTGAGATATCAAAAAAGTACTCCAGAGTGTTGTTCAGCATGGGGGTGAGTAGAAAATGAAGGCTAATCATGTTTTGGTGGTACTACTCCTTTAACCTGCTAGAGCCGCCGTGTGGCGATGCTCAGACGCTGTGTTCAAACCCCGTTTACTGTAGGTGAAGCCATACTGGACAGAAGGGTGGACCAAAATTCCTCCACATGATGGAAGGAACTGATGAATTCAGACAATAAAACTCGGCTGAGAGTTCCTGGTTCCAGAGAAGGTTCTACAGAACGAGATGCTGGACTCTGTTTTTACCCTCTGCTAGAAATAGAGGTATAATATAAGTTAAATAAACTCTTTATTTTTTATGGAGGTTTCTTTCCAAATGTGACAAAGGAAAGATCAGTCCAACATTGATGTCATGGTTGGCTTTTAAAGCAGCACGAGTTATTACCTCTACAGGGCGTAACGGGATCTGATGAGCACTTTGCTGAGATCCTGAGATCCGAATCAGGAGGATTTATCTGGGTTATCAAGCTCAGGTTATAACGCACCTACCCACAGACATAAAAGGAGGAATTACCCGTGAACAAACTGCAGCCGGAGGCCCTGATCCGGTCCTTTCTGCCTCTTCAGAGATCCCACCTGCTGCTTCTTCTCTCTGCTCTGCTGCCGCAGCTGAAGCAGGTCCTCCTTATAGACCTGTGGGACCACAAACCGCAGCCCATCACTATGTTGATCTTTAGAAAATGCAGAGCTAATAAACTCATCAAGAGCTCTAATACACTGCAAAAACAATCTAGAAATTAGTAAAAAATTGCTCAAATTAAATGTATTTAACTTTAATTTGAACAGGTAAATAAGATTTGCCGATGGAATTAGTTTTTCTACTCTTAAAATAGGATAATTAGATTCATGCACTTGAAATCAGACAATGCAATAGTTTTTTCTCTTTTTAAATGTAAATTGTCTTGTTCCATTGGGAACGTGTCTCACTTACTTCCTCAATTAAAGAAAAAATGCACTTAGTTAAAGAAAAAAATGACTGTGCAATGTATATGTTATTCATATATAATAACACTGGAAAAAAATTTAATCTAGATAAGTCTTTTTTTTCTTCAAATAAGCTCATTTGTTCTTGGATTGAGGAGGAAAGTAAGACACTTTGCCAATGGAACAATACAATTTACACTTAAAATAAGAAAACACAGATACATTGTCTTATTTCAAGTGCATTTGATCTAATTATCTTATTTTAGGAGTAAAAATACTCATTCCATTGGCAAACGTTTTAATTTAATTACTCTAATTAAGGTTAAATACACTTAATTTAAGAAATGTTTACTTATTTCTAGATTGTTTTTCCAGTGAAGTCTTGATTTCCCAATTTTATTCATTTCAAATAAATAAATGAAACAGGAGAAGCTGCTTGAACGGTCGCAGTGTTTCCTCCCTTAGCAGCCGACCCGTCTGCTCCTTCAGCTCTGCTTCAGTCTGCGAGCTGCAGCCGCCTGACAATTTCACTCCTCTTCCTCCCAGGAGGAAGGGAGCGCTCTACTTCCTCACTGCTTTCCATTTTCCAGACAGAGTATTTCTGGAGCGCTGTGCCGGGTCAGCGCTGGGAGCAGCAGAACATTTAACTATGACTGGAGCGTACCCCCCCGCTGCCTCCTCTTCACTCCAGAGGAGGGATGTTTACTATCAGCATTCATTTAGGCTATGCATGCTCTAATATTTCCATCCTAACAGAGCAGAACAATTAGAGTGACTTGATAGGAGAGAGTATCAAACTAGGAGAAAATGAATCAATAAAAGTTCATTATTTCTGCCTGTTTCTGATTAAATAGAAAGCGCTAACCTCCGATCCGAACCTCCAGCTTATTGATGCAACATTGGCTGCAGCGACGGGATGCCTGGCAGGCAGCAGCTGCTTCGTGCAGATAAGGCGTGTTTTCCAGAACCCTGCAGACCCATGGAAACAGAAACCATCCAGGAAAAATCCAGTTACCTGTCGCTCGTAGTTGATCTGTGTCTCCTGCTCGATGTCAGAGTCCAGCTCCGGGACGTCAGAGACATCACTGTCTGACTCCTCACTATTGGAGTCTCCATGACCCTCTAAAGACGAGACACACAAAGAACGATGGTGAAAGTTAAGGACGTAGCTGACTAACGTCTTTGATGGAGGTTTGTTGATCCGGCTGTTTATCTGTTTGGACAGAAAAGCATCTTTATATTTTTTAATGCACAGAAAAAAATGAACTCAAAGTATTAAAGTTTATTACAACCTAACCAGAGCGTTGCTGCATTTGCAGAAGCAATTGTCCTGCCGTGGTATATAGCCTTATTCGTGGCTCAGTAAAAGGCCTTATACTTTGCAACACAGAAAATACAGTGGGCAGGGTGTTTGAACCCGAACACACAGAAACAATACATGCTGGAGGTCACGTACAATTAAGAAACAAGATTCTTAATTGCTAATTTGCATGTACTCAGTTTATAAGCCAACAGAAAAACAGAAAACATCTTTTTCCTGTTTAGGTGTCAGAGCCAAGAGCAGAGCATTGGCCAGCATTGGCTAGCATTGGCTAGCATTGGCCAGCATTGGCCAGCATTGGCTAGCATTGGCTAGCATTGGCTAGCATTGGCCAGCATTGGCTAGCATTGGCTAGCATTGACCAGCATTTGCTAATAATGGCCAGCATTGGCTAGCATTGGCCAGCATTGGCTAGCATTGGCTAGCATTGGCTAGCATTGGCCAGCATTGGCTAGCATTGGCTAGCATTGGCCAGCATTGGCCAGAATTGGTCAGCATTGGCTAGCATTGGCCAGCATTGGCCAGCATTGGCTAGCATTGTCTAGCATTGGCTAGCATTGGCCAGCATTGGCCAGCATTGGCCAGCATTGGCCAGCATTGGCTAGCATTGTCTAGCATTGGCTAGCATTGGCAAGCATTGGCTAGCATTGTCTAGCATTGGCTAGCATTGGCCAGCATTGGCCAGCATTGGCCAGCATTGTCTAGCATTGGCTAGCATTGGCTAGCATTGGCCAGTATTGGCCAGCATTGGCCAGCATTGGTCAGCATTGGCTAGCATTGGCCAGCATTGGCCAGCATTGGCTAGCATTGTCTAGCATTGGCCAGCATTGGCCAGCATTGGCTAGCATTGGCCAGCATTGGCCAGCATTGGCTAGCATTGTCTAGCATTGGCTAGCATTGGCTAGCATTGGCTAGCATTGTCTAGCATTGGCTAACATTGGCTAGCATTGGCTAGCATTGGCAAGCATTGGCTAGCATTGGCTAGCATTGTCTAGCATTGGCCAGCATTGGTCAGCATTGGCTAGCATAGGCCAGCATTGGCCAGCATTGGCTAGCATTGGCTAGCATTGGCTAGCATTGGCAAGCATTGGCTAGCATTGGCTAGCATTTGCTAGCATTGGCAAGCATTTGCTAGCATTGGCTAGCATTGGCTAGCATTGGCAAGCATTGGCTAGCATTGGCTAGCATTTGCTAGCATTGGCAAGCATTAGCAAGCATTGGCTAGCATTGGCTAGCATTGGCTAGCATTGGCTAGCATTGGCTAGCATTTGCTAGCATTGGCAAGCATTAGCAAGCATTTGCTAGCATTGGCTAGCATTGTCTAGCATTGGCTAGCATTGGCAAGCATTGGCTAGCATTGGCTAGCATTTGCTAGCATTGGCAAGCATTAGCAAGCATTGGCTAGCATTGGCTAGCATTGGCTAGCATTGGCCAGCATTGTCTAGCATTGGGTAGCATTGGCTAGCATTGGCCAGCATTGTCTAGCATTGGCCAGCATTGTCTAGCATTGGGTAGCATTGGCTAGCATTGGCCAGCATTGTCTAGCATTGGGTAGCATTGGCCGGCATTGGCCAGCATTGGCTAGCATTGGCTAGCATTGGCCAGCATTGGCCAGCATTGGCTAGCATTGGCTAGCATTGGCCAGCATTGTCTAGCATTGGGTAGCATTGGCTAGCATTGGCCAGCATTGTCTAGCATTGGCTAGCATTGGCCAGCATTGGCTAGCATTGGCAAGCATTGGCTAGCATAGGCTAGCATTGGCAAGCATTGGCCAGCATTGGCTAGCATTGGCAAGCATTGGTTAGCATTGGCCAGCATTGGCCAGCATTGGCTAGCATTGGCTAGCACATATACATTTCAGTAAGACTACAACAGAACATCCTTTCGTGCAGAGAATGTCTGTGGTGAAGATGCTGGATTTGTAAAGTTTTAGACGATTTGATTTATCAATAAATGTTTCCCCCCCTCCAGAGGACAAAATTGGATGAATTTCCAGGGTTCTTCTTTCTGAATTCTACCGTTTGGAGCTACCACACATTCTGCCTGGGTTGAACCACAACAAACACATTAAGTGGAAGCTTTACAAGGCGCATCAACTCGATTGACCAGAGAGGATGCCAACAACAACAAGCTAGCTTTTCTGGACTGTTTGGTGAACATGGAAGGAGATGGAAACCTCAACATTGAAGTGTATTGAAAATCCACTCACACAGACCAGTATCTTCTTTTTGACTCACACCACCCACTGGAACACAAACTTTCAGTAATCAGAACCTTACAACAGTGGGCCGAGCATGTCCCTACTAAAACCGAAGGGAAGCACAAAGAACAGAAAACCATCAAAGATGCTCTCCAAACCTCCAGAGACCCAAACTGGCTGTTTGTCAAGTCAGAAAGGAAATCCAAAAGATATGCAGCAGAACAAAACGCTGAGAAGATTAAACACAAAAACATCTCCATGCCATCATGTTGCTGGAGTCTCTGAAAAATTCAAGATAATTTTCTCCAAACATAAAATGCCAGAACATTTCAAACCAAACAGACCCTGAAACAGAGACTAGTTCATCCTAAAGACCTAATCTGAGCAGAGTGTCTGCAGGTCAATGCAGTGAGGAATGCTCTGATCTTAATGTTGGAGAAAACCATACAACCTCTCCACAGACGCAAGGCCCAACACAGAAGAGCGCCCTCCTCTGGACAAGACTCTGCAGCACATCTACAGCTGATGGACAAAGGACATTCTTTGGAGGACCAGAATGTTCACATTTTGGACAAAGAAGACAGGTGGTTTGAGAGGAGCGTGAAGGAAGCCATCTATGTTAAGAAAAACCAACCTTAAATGGGGGGGGGCTCAGATTTAAGCTTTCAAAAACCTACAATGCAGCAATAGAGTCGATTCCTTCCCAATACCATCCGATTCCTTCCCAATACCATCTCTATGCAGGGGAACAAAATATCTCGCCAAGTCAGCCAGAGCAACAATGACTCTTAAAGACCGCCTTTTCAGAGGAATGGACCAGTATCTGGTATTGCAGGCCAATAACAACCTCAACGACTCCCATTATTAAGGCGTGTTGCTGGTTTTCCACTTTCAATTTGCATGTTTTCTAAGCCATTACAAGGCTTTTGTTGGGCTACCCTATAATAGCCTGGAACTTAGCGCTAATCCAGACATATTTAATTAAAAAAGCTTCCTGGATGGGAAGGGAAACGTCTTCAAACTTGGAAACAAAGTTCAGTGGGTTTTTTTTGTTTTGTTTTTGGAATGATTGATGACTGAGAATCTCCACCAACACATGAAGTTCATAATGTCATCATCTAAGATGTGTTGCTACTGAGAGGAATATAATTTACTGAAATTTGCCTGAAAACAATTTTGGAAGCATTAATTGATGACTTGACATTAAAAATATCAAAGTATAAATGTAACTAATACTAGAAAATATGCAATGAAAATCTTTTTCTAAACATTTTCTAAACATTTACTGAATTTAAACCTTGGATGCTATGAAAGTACAAAAGAAAGTAGAGAATAATCAAAAGCAATCCTTACTTAAGCGTATTCTGGTATTCTTGTCCTACCTTGTATATTTAGATCCAGGCCTCCATTCATCACCTCCTCAGGTAGAAACCTCCACTGGAAGAGGGCGTGGTCGGCTCCTCCTGTGGTGAGGACACACTGCAGATCGTTGGACCAGCGGACGTTGGTGACGTGGGCCGAGTGACCGATGTACTTCTTGAATTTGGCTCCTTTTGGGGCAACAGTAGGAATTAATAAAAATGAACCAAGATAAACCCGGAAGCTGCAGGGAAAAGAGCAGAGACCTTTCCGGAGGCATGGAAAGCGGTAGAGTTTCACCAGACCGAGGTCATCTCCTGTGACTAGCACAGCAGCGCTCAGGTTGGCGTCCACGGCGTTAATCGTGATGGAGTCTGAGTATTTTGGCCAAATTCCGCTGACCTCAGACCCCAGGACGCTGCTCCACGAGGCCCAGCGCTGACCTTTCACCTCCTCTTTGTTAATGATCGGTTTCCCCACTGCAGGAGGAAAAACGGATCAATTTCCTTTACACTGCAAATTACTGATTGTTAAAGTCAGTAGAAGAATAATGGAATAAACCGTGAATAAAACCAGGAACCCAGCAGATAAAAACTGAATGTCTTAAACGCAGCCTCAGTCACTGCAGGTTTGGTCAGGTGCTGATGTTTAAAGGAGTTCAGTTTTACACTCGGGTCTCTATGAACCTATTGCGGTCTGGACTCACTGGGCATCCAGTAGAAGAGGCGCTTTCCTGCTCCGTCGTTGCTCTGCAGGATTTTACCGTCCACAGACCAGTCCAGGTGTGTGATGAAGCTGCTGGACTTACTGCATTCTCCCACCTGTGACCAGTCAGAGAAATTACTGCTGCAAAGCTAATATTACCTAATAATGGAAATGTTTTTTATTTTTTTTTACATTTAGTAAAATGAACTAAAAGTTCCTTTATCGTCATGTAACTAGGATCAAATTGAAAAGTATGGCCTGGATTTCTAATGTTTATGAGGCTGGACTGATCTGATTATACATTTCTGTTCATTTATCTGATTTGTCTGTCTTGTAAAGTAGTTTTAGATTTAATTGTAATCATCTCAGTTCCTGTGATTCATCCCGAACCTTCTTGTATCTCTGAGCGACTGCGTAGATATCCACCAGTCCATCATTGGAGCCGACAGCAAGATACGATCCATCTGGAGAGAACTTCATCTCATGGATCACCTCCTTCCTGTCCTTGATATGGACGACCTCCGTCATGTCTCTGAGGGGTAAGAACATCCAGTTTACCTCACAGAGAGAACATTTCTGCCAGGTTGTGGTCCGATCTGTCAGTGTCTTCCATACCTGACTCTCAGGACGGTGAAGGATCCGTCCTTCATACCCAGAGCCAGCTGGGATCCGTCCAGGCTGAACGCCACGCTGCGGACCGCCTCCTCCATGTTGCAGCGGGCGATGAGGGCATGGTCGACCAGACTCCACAATCTGACGGCGACACAGATTCATGAAGGTCTGGAGCTTTACCCCCTCAGCCAAAAAATAATCACTTTGCATTGTACTTTAGTTAACATGGTTCTTTTTCAAAAGAGAAAAAATGAAGGCTGTGAAAATGTCATGTAGGTGTAACTGTCCATGGTTCTGAAACAGAAGCTGCTCTGAAAGACAAATAAAATGATCTTTTCTTTAAAACCTCTCTCTATGTTGATGATCACAGGCAGAGGTGGGAGATGTTTGTTTACTTTAGACCTCATCCTGACGCATCGTTTCAAATGCAAATGGCGCATTAAAGGAATAGTACACCCAAAACATGATTAGCCTTCATTTTCTACTCACCCCCATGCTGAACAACACTCTGGAGTACTTTTTTGATATCTCAAATGCATCTGGAGATCTGGGAGGCTTCTTGCTGTCTGCTGACATTCAAATAATGGAGGTCTATGGCGCCCGAGGCAGAAAGGTCCATAAAAGTCCACAAAAAACGTGTCAATATTCCTCCATACTGCTCGTCCAATGTATTCCAAGTGTCCTGAGTGGGTAGCATCCAGAATTTACTCGAAACGAAGTCATTTAGAACGTTTTTAGAGCATAAACAGTAGTGTATAAGATTTCCTGAAAGCGCGCCAATGCGCGTTCATGACGCTACGGAAACCGCGGCAGACCAAACCAGATGAAAGTGCGCATTCAGCGCATTTATGCTCTAAAAACATTCTAAATGACTTCTTTTCGAGTAAATTATGGACGCTACCCACTCAGGACACTTGGAATACATTGGACGAGCAGTATGGAGGAATATTGACACGTTTTTTGTGGACTTTTATGGACCTTTCTGCCTCGGGCGCCATAGACCTCCATTATTTGAATGTCAGCAGACAGCAAGAAGCCTCCCAGATCTCCAGATGCATTTGAGATATCAAAAAAGTACTCCAGAGTGTTGTTCAGCATGGGGGTGAGTAGAAAATGAAGGCTAATCATGTTTTGGGTGTACTATTCCTTTAACAGGAGTTTTTCCAATGTTAGTTTACCCGCTTTAGCTCGCTTTCTACTGGCTAAAAAAGCTAGTCTAACCCCTCGCTGGCAGCTTCATGGCCTTTGACCCCCTGCCGCTGCGTGTCTGGTGATGCCATCACATTGGGTTAATATTGATGACATGCAAGTGTGACAGAAATCAGGAAAGTAAACAATGGAGACCAACATGGAAGGAAGCTAGGGCGTATTATCGAATGTAAACAGAGTCGTTTCTACTCGTTAGATCAAAAGTGAGTGGCGCGGTGCGCTGACGTCCGTACATTGCCTTCACATTATCACGTTAGCGGGTCGATCTGGCTCTGGTGTTCCTACAGCATGCCAATCAGAGCCGAGGCAGTTTTAATGCGGGTCGAGTTGTTTGACCCGGTTAGACGCGCATCAGTGAGCTGTTCCCATGGCAACTAAAAGCCCATTGTTCCCAGTTTAAAGGGGTTTTTTAGGGTTAGGTGGTGAGAAGGTTCTGTAGGATTAACCCTAAACCTATCCCTAACCCAAACATATTTGTACACGTTACATTTTTTCCTAAATTTTATCTACTATCCAAGAACACAAATATACAAAAATATATTTATTTATTTTTTCCACATTCCTCCTTTAAAACATTGAATTTATAGCGACCTACTTCTAAATGAATTTCATCAGCATGGAGACATTAGATGCTAAATTTCATTTGATGCATTTATTGATAAATGGAAACCAGCAACTAAATATATTGGATATCTAAAATAGCTAATAGTTATATTGAATCCTGATATCTCTAATTGTTTGCATGATTACCATTTCAGATTTTTTTTTTCTTAAATAAAATGAACTTATTGTAGCTTTACGTGTTCATTGAATTAGTTGCCTAAGACCAGCTTTCCTTAATGCGAATAAGGTTTAAATGAGGATAATGTGATGCTTTTTATTATATAGATACTCAAAGAAGACAGTGGTTCGAGAGGGGTGTGAAGGAAGCCATCTATATTAAGAAAGAAAAACCACAGAGCAAAAAAATTAAAAGCTTAATAATTAATTGAGGAGGTAAAAGAGACATTTTGCCAATGGAACAAGACAATTTACATTTAAAATAAGAAAAAAACAATTTCATTGTCCTATTTAAAGTGAATATTATCTAATTATCTTATATTAATAGTAAAAATACTTATTCCATTAGCAAATAATCTTATTTACCTATTCAAATTAATGATAAATACACATAATTTAAAAACATTTTATTTATGTCTAGATTGTTTTTGCCATGCAACGTTAAACAGAGGGGGTGGACTCTCAAAAACCTCCAATGCAGCGATAGAGTTGATTCCTTTTCGCTATCATCGCAGCTCCAACCCCTTTACAGGAGAACAGAAGACCTCACCTGTTCAGCCAGGCCAACTATTCCCTCTAACGACCCCCCTTTCAGAGGCATAGACAGGTATGGGGCATTGCAGGCTAACAAAGAAGCCAAACGACCCCCATTCCAAAGGGGGGGACCCGTTCATTCGTTTCTATTTGCATGTTTTCTAAACTAAAACCAGGCTTTGTTGGGCTGCTGGATAAAACCTGGAACTAAACGCTATTTCTGACATTTTGAACTGAAAAATCTTCCTGGATGGAAGAGAAACGTCTTCAAACTGGGAAACAAAGTCCAGTAGATTTAAAAAAAAAACTTTTTTGGAGAAGATAGGTTTCAGAAAACATTTGCAAGATCTGTAAATAAATAAACTAGAATAAACATGTAGCACATTTTAATCCTCTTTCTGTGTTGCAGACCTGTTTTGTCACCCCTCCAGGCCATTAGTTATCTTCTCTGTGTTTTTTTCATTTGAGGGGATTTAGGCTCAGGGCTCTTCAGTTTCACTGAGCTGTTAAAATGCTCCCTTGCAGCCGGTTACACTCCTGCTTTTTAAGTTTTTATCTCACTGATTACTTGGTGCAGACGCTCTGCCTGCAGCTCAGAGTGGGATTCTGACAGTAAGATCATCTGAATTACAGCTCAGTGTTTTATTTTCATGCTGAAGATCTTTCCCTACAGTTTTTATTTTTATTTCTTGTGTTATTCAAAGTCTAACACTGTGTCCAGAGTGTAGCTGTGGTGCAGCAGGCAGCTCCCCGTTTAAAGGAAGCCTTCCTGGACCCACCTGACGGAGCGGTCGTCGCTGCCGGTCACAGCCAGAGGCTTTTTGGGATGAACATCCAGCGCCCAGAGTTCTCCCTCACTGTGACCCTGCATGATGAGCAGCGGCTTGTCGCGCTCTCGCACCATCACCTGAACACAACACAACTCACAGGTGGCGGAAAATACACAGAACCTAATAAAACTAAGGACTTAATAGACATCAAACACCTTTAAAATTAGAGATTTTATGCATTTTATCAATTTGCCAGTTTAATGAAAGGAAGGTTTAGGAAATATGTGGAGATGTTAAACATCCAGGCTGCTCAACAGCTTAAATTATTGGATTTTACTTTTCTGAAAGCAATACGCTGGAAAAAATCTAAATCTAGATTAGTAATTTTTTCTTAAAAATAAGTGCATTTGTTCTTGAATTGAGGAGGTAAGAGAGACATGTTACCATTGGAACAAGAAAATATACATTTAAAACTAATTTAATTGGCTAATAATCTCATTTACGTACTCAAATTAAGGGAAATAGACTTAATCTAAGGCATTTTTGCTCAATCATAGATCATTTTTCCACTATAGGAGGGAAATCCATTTAATTGAAGGACTTTTGAGCAATAATTGAAACACAAGCAGATATTTTATAATCCTTCCTCCAAACTCATCCCCATTTATTTAAATCTGTTTAAATAAAATTTTATTTTATTTTGCAGCTTGTTTTACTTCATCCGCTGTAGAATAAACAGGAACCCGCACTGAAAAAAATCTAAATCTACTTAAGTAATTTTTCTCTTAAAATAAGTGCATTTGTTCTTGGATTGAGGAGGTAAAAGAGACATTTTGCCAATGGAACAAGACAATTTACATTTAAAATAAGAAAACACAATTACATTGTTTTATTTCAAGTGCATTTTATCTAATTATCTGTTTGTAAGAGTAAAAATGCTGATTCTATTGGCAAACTATCTCCTTTAGCTAATCAAATTAAGGACAAATACAGTTAATTTAAGAAATTTTTACTTATTTCTAGGTTGTTTTTCCAGTGCGATGAATGCACTGCAAAAACGATCCAGAAACAAGTAAAAATGTCTTAAATAAAGTATATTTACCTTTAATTTGAGTAGGAAAATAAGATGATCTGCCAACGGAATGAGTATTTTTACTCTTAAAATAAGATAATGTAATTATTTTTTTTCTTATTTTAAATGTAAATAGTCTTGTTTCATTGGCAAAGAGATTCACTCTTCCCCTCAACTCAAGAAAAACTCCACTTATTTTAAGAAAATGTGACTTATTTAGATTTACATGTTTCCAGTGTGACCAGTCGTCCTCCGCTGCTGGATGGTTTCAGTAAAAAACTGAAAATATTCCATGTTTTGAACAAATCAATCATCTGCAGGATCTGAAAGTTTTAAAAGTTTATTGTGAAGCTAAAATTAAATTCTAAATTAGTTCTCCTCAACGGTCACTAAAAATAAACCTCTAATCAATAAAAAGAGTTTATTCAGACGTGGAGCTGGAGCAGCTTTGATGAACCAAAGCTAAAGTTACGGTTTCCTCCTCACCTCAAAGATCTCACTGTCCTGAGTTCCTGCCAGGATCCTGTCGGCGCGCCAGCAGACGCTTCGGATCGACAGACCTGGAAGAAACCAAAGCAAAAGACATAAAAAAAACAACTTTCCACTATGATCTGCTGCTGAGGTTTATCGTTCAGAGTCAGAACTTCATGGAGAATTTCTGTCCAGATCCATCATCCATTAAAGCTTCTGAACAGAAGAACTGGAAGATTTTTTCTTCAATTAAGTGCATTTCTTCTTGAACTGAGGATGTTAGTGAGACACTTTGCAAATGGAACGAGACAATTTACATTTAAAAAAAGAATAAAACAACTATAATCTCTTATTTTGAAAGTATATTATCCAATTATCTTATTTTAAGAGTAAAAATACTGAAATAATGATTTGCCAGTATTCCATTGGCAGATATTTACTGTACCTACTTAATTAAGGCTTAATACACTTAAGCTAAGAAATTTATTTTGCGTTAATCTTTACAGTGTGTCCACATTGATTATGGTTCTTTTTATTGGTCTGCTGTAATATTCTGATTTAATTTATCGATCTTTAAATGGATAAGTTTTACTTTCAGAATATATTGGAAGATAGAAATAAATCAACATTCAGCTATGCTTGTTTTTAATCAGAAAAGAAGGAAGAAGTGAGTGAAAAGATTAAATGTTTAAACGATTAGGACAAAAACAAACACCTAAAATAAGACAAAAATTTGGTTAGGATAAATCAGAAAAGGTCAAACCAGCAGCAGGAGATAAAAACTATCAGCTGTGCCTCATTTCAGTTGATAAATCATTTATTTTCATGGTGGTTCAGTCACACTGCAAAAAACGGAAATCTAAATAAGTAATTTTTTCTTAAAATAAGTGCATTTGTTCTGGCATTGAGGTAAAAGAGACATTTTGCCAATGGAACAAAACAATTTACACTTAAAATAAGAAAACACAATTTCATTGTCTTATTTTAAGAATAAAAGTACTAATTCCATTGGCAAACTACCTCATTAATCTATTTAAATTAAGGGTAAATACACTTAATGTAAGAATTTTTAGTTATTTCTAGATCGTTTTTCCAGTGCAGCAGCTTTACACTGCAAAAACAATCTAGAAAAGAGTAAAAATGTCTTAAATTAAGTGTATTTATCCTTATTCTAAGTAAGTAAATAAGATAGTTTGCCAATGGAATTAGTATTTTAATCTTAAAATAAGATAATTAGAGAATATGCACTTGAAATAAGACAATGCAATAGTTTTTTTGTTATTTTAGGTGTAAATCATCTTGTTCCATTGGCAAAATGTCTCTTTTACCTCCTCAATCCAAGAACAAATGCACTTATTTTAAGGAAAAATTACTGATCTAGATTTCGATTTTTTCCAGTGTAAAGTCTGGAGCTCTGAGCTTATAATGGTGGACGGACGTCCAGGGAGACGTTTCTAACACAAACATGGCTGCTCATCAGATCTGCGCCTGTTTCGATAAGTGCGCCGCATTTCATTATTTATTTTTAGAAAATTCTTCGAAAACAAATGAAACTTTTTATTTCCAGTTTTGAGGATATAAATTGTAATTTAAACAGTAATTAATTTCCTCCAGACGTGACTTCAAACAGGTAAATTATCTCATTTACACTGGAAAAAATCCTAAATCTAGATAAGTAATTTTTCTTAAATTTGTGAATTTTTCTTGGATTGAGGAGGTAAAAGAGACATTTTGCCAATGGAACAAGACAACATACACTTAAAATAAGAAAACATCATTGCATTGTCTTATTTCAAGTGCATATTATCTAATTATCTAATTTTAAGAGGAAAAATACTCATTCCATTGGCAAACTATCTAATTTACCTCCTCAAATTAAGGGTAAATACACTTAATTTAAGAAATCTTTTCTCATTTCTAGATCATTTTCCAGTGTTGGACTCATTATGCAAAGTTTTGTCCATTTCCCATTCAGACCATCTGGAAGTTCAAACCTTCAGTGAGAAAAGAAACGCTGAAGTCACAGATCATTAAGTAACCATTTAAAAATCAGCGGGTCTGAATAAATAAAATCAACAACCAGTAAAGGTCCAGAGACATTTTCAATTATTATCAGTTACTTTAAACAGAATTTAACACTGAAATAAAATGAGGGTTTTATGCATCCATGTTATACACTTAATAAATAAAAAAAAGATTTTTTTTCCCATTTTGAAATCTAAATTGTTTTTAAGTAGAGAACAACAATCATTCAGTTTGGTTTATAGATAATTTCCTGATTCCCATATTTTCTCAAACCCCTGAACTGATGGTTTGTTATTTTCTTTCTTTTTTCTGTCTTAATGTTGGCAGTGGGCTTTAGGCTGCCCTGCAAGGCTTTAAACCTGGGTTTAACCGGAGACTAAGCCATTCTCAAGCACATATCAAGGAGCTCATTTTGAGCCTGGATCCAGATTTATTGTTGATTCTGTTCATGGTGGAGAATCCTGCTTCACAGCAGCAGGTTGAGCCAAACATCCTCTAAATGTGCAGGGTCATCTTTGAGCACGCCATTTCACTTTTCTTTCACCAGTTCACCGCAGTTCTTCCAGCAGTCCACACTTTCTCTGCTCTCTTTTTCTCATGGTCTTCTCCTTCTTTCCCATCGCCCGGCTTGCCACAGGTTTGCCTGCTGTGTCTAAAAGTAGCAGCAGCAGCAACCCAGACTGACAGCTCATTGGCTCATTTGGATCACGCGCAGCCTGGAGCCGGACGCTCCCCAGGGCTTTACCGTATTAACAGGAGAAGAGGAGCAAGTGAAATTAGACACTGACATTGGAGATGTGGAGATGCTGGTAACACCTAAAGTTCAAAGCCCCACAGCTCTGGAACTGTTGTAGGCAGAGGTCTGAAATTTTCTGCATTTGTGGTTGACATGATGTAGAACAAATGTAGTACAATGAGATTTTCCATTTGGGTATGCAAAGTAAGCGAGAATTTCCCAAAATGAGGTGGCTGTTACGAGGTTTTAACACCAACTGACCAAACCACATCAGGTCCTAAACTCTTTCCTGATGATTGATAATAGCTTGAAACCGAAACATGTGGACTTTTCTGATGTTTTCATCTGATTTTATATAAATAAACAAAGTACAAACATCCTTCTTCAAGGGGAGAGACATTTTGGCTAAAGACAGGAAGGGAAGAATAATGAGGAGACATTTCAGATGCTGAGTTCTGAAAAGATGAAACCAAAACATCAGCAGATAAAGGCTTCTTCAGTAAAATGGCCTTTTTCCTTTTCTACTCTTTGTCCTGGAAACCTTATAGAGTTCAGAGATTAAGACAGAATGTTGAAAACATCCAGCCGATGTGTGATGGAGGACATTCAGACAGAAATGCCAGAGCTCTCATTAGGAGCCTTAAAGGTCTCCGCCTAGAATAAGAGATTCAGTTCAATCCAGGTAGAAACCTTTAAACCGAGCCTCTAGATGAACTGGACCAATCTTTAGGACTCACTGGAAAAATATCCAAATGTAGGTAAGTCATTTTTTCTTAAAATAAGTGCTTCTGTTCTTGGATTGAGGAGGTAAAAGAGACATTTTGCCAACGGAACAAGACAATTTACATTTAAAATAAGAAAACAATTGTATTGTCTTATTTCAAGTGCATATTATCTACCATAATTTTCGGACTATTAGCCGCACCTGAATATAAGCCGCAGAAGCTAAAATGCATGATTTGTACATATACAAGGAGCACCGGACTATAAGCCGCAGGTTTTTTATGTTTAATGTCCGTCTTTCTCGCTGTCGTTCTGTCTCGTACCACTTGCGGTAGAAGTCTGCTTCCGGAGGACCTCGGCATTCCCGCGCGCGAGGCTACCGTACTTGTGTGTCGAAGCAAATGTGACATCAACATGGTGGATGGTAAAATCCATAGATGTAGGTATTACCCTAGTGGCCGTTAGCTGTAAAAGTCATAGATAAGCCGCATTGTTATATAAGCCGCAAGGTCGAAAAATGGGGGAAAAAGTCGCGGCTTATAGTCTGAAAATTACGGTAATTACCTTATTTTAAGAGTAAAAATACTCATTCCATTGGCAAATATTCTCATTTACCTTCTCAAATTAAGGAAAATACACTTAATCTAAGACATTTTCGCTCAATTATATATCATTTTCCCAGTGCTTTTACTTGAAATAAAAGAGATAAGTTAAACAACATGAACTAAAGGATTCTGAGGGCAGCAGTTAATCTTATGAAAGCATACCACTATGGTACAGTAGTGGCTGCATTATGATGAGGGAACCATAAAATGTAGTTTAGTTTGGATCTGTACCTTTGTATCCCTGCTCCGCCTCCCGCAGGTCGATTTTAGTGATCGGTTTGAAGTCGACGTCCCAAAGACGGACGCAGCCGTCTCTTCCTCCCGTGGCGAAACCTTCCTCACAGGAGAACATGCTGAAGATCCCCGCCTGCACAGACACAGGAAACAATCAGCAGAGGCGCTAAATGAGGCACAGAAAAATACAGATTGCATTTAAAACAGACAAATAATCCATCAGACGATCAGACACGGATGCTTCTACATGTTGTCAGGTGAGCCTGAATGCGGCTTCAGATTTCTGCCCCAGTGATGATGCGAGAAGCTCACCCCATGCGCCGCCTGAACCGTTCGCATCAGGCCCAGTCCTTTCCACACGTAAACGTCTCCGTTGAGCGTGCCGGAGTACGTGAGGTCATCTTTAGCCGACGCCACGCACAGGATGGTCTGCAAGTCGCCCGTCTTCCCAAAGATCCCCCTCTTTGGACTGAGGGCGTTTCCACAGAGGGACCAGAACTGCAACCAGAAGGAGGCAACAGAATCAACTGGTTCCCAACGTCCACCAACTGGATCCTTTCAGGAACCTGTAGAAGTCCTGTTCATCTAATCAAACCCAGTGGAACCTGATCCTCTTTCCAAAAAAGTTAAAATCAATCCGCTGGACTTTGTTTCCAAGTTTGAAGACGTTTCTCTTCCATCCAGGAAGATTTTTCAATTCCAAATGTCAGAAATAGCGTTTAGTTCCAGGTTTTATCCAGCAGCCCAACAAAGCCTGGTTGAAACGGATGAACGGGTCCCCCCTTTGGAATGGGGGTCGTTTGGCTTCTTTGTTAGCCTGCAATGCCCCATACCTGTCTATGTCTCTGAAAGGGGGGTCGTTAGAGGGAATAGTTGGCCTGGATGAACAGGTGAGGTCTTCTGTTCTCCTGTAAAGGGGTTGGAGCTGCAATGATAGCGGGAAGGAATCGACTCTATCGCTGCATTGGAGGTTTTTGAAAGCTGAAATCTGCACTGCAAAAATTTGAATCTCAATAAGTCATTTTTTTCTTAAAATAAGTGTATATTTTCTTGAATTAAGGAGGTAAATTAAATACTTTGCCAATAGAACAAGACAATTAATACTTAAAATACGAAAAAAGCAATTATGTTGTCTTATATCAAGTGCATATTATCTAATGATCTTATTTTAAGGGTAAAAATACTCAAGTCATCTTTACCTGTTCAAATTAAGGGTTAAATTGACTTAATTTGAGACATTTTTACTCATTTTTAGATTGTTTTTGCAGTGTGAAACCTTAAACAGAGGGAATCTGTTTAAGGTTTTTCTTTCCTAACATAGATGGCTTCCTTCACATTGCAAAAAATGTAAATCTTAATAAGTCATTTTTTCTTAAAATAAGTGCATTTTGTCTTGGATTGAGGAGGTAATTGAGATAATTTGCCAATGGAACAAGACAATTTACATTTAAAATAAGAAAAAACAATTGCATTGTCTTATTTCAAGTGCATATTATCTAATTATCAATGGAATGAGTAAAAATACTCATTCCATTGGCAGATCATCTTGTTTACCTACTGAAATTAAGGTTAAATACACTAAATTTAAGAAATTTTTACTTATTTCTATATCGTTTTTGCAGTGCACGCCCCTCTCAAACCACCTGGCTATAATAAAAAGCATCACATTATCCTCATTTAAACCTTGTTCTCATCAAGGAACGCTAATTCAATGAACACGTAAATCTACAATTCATTCATTTTAAATAGAAGCAAATGCCAGGCTTTGTTGGGCTGCTGGATAAAACGTGGAACTAAACGCTATTTCTGACATTTTGGATTGAAAAAGCTTCCTGGATGGAAGAGAAACGTCTTCAAACCTAGAAACAAAGTCCAGTGGATTGATTTTTAACTTTTTTGGAATGACTCTGACCCAGATGTCTGAGAATCTTCACCAGCATAAACTTTATCGTCGGTTTAATCTGAACTCCACCTGTTATGTCGGTTCTGTCAGAACCTCCTTCATCATCTATTTCAACTACAGACAATTTGAATTATTTTTGCTTTTTCCTGCAGAGCAGTAGGTTCAACTGTCCGTCAGTTTCTAATGTATGGAAATCTCTTTATTGTCCCACTGTGGGGAAATTCACTCTGCATTTAACCCCTCCCCTTGGGGAGCAGTGGGGGGTTAAGGGTCTTTGCTCAGGGACCCATAGCGGAGGGTGTGGTACTTGCAACATCTTCAGAGCACTGCTCTAACCAGCGAGGCCAACACTCCCCCCCCACTGAGGTTTCCCTACCCCTCCTGATTCAGGCGACTGAGCTCAGGTTCATTTCTGACCTCTCTGAGCCACCGTAGCTTTGATGATTACTGCATTCTCTGATGTGACTAGAGCTCTTTAATTCTCAGATTAGCTTCACAGAGTCAGCATGTTGGACAGGAAGCAAACCAACCAGACCAGCAGAAACCTTCATGGTTCACCTTGATGTGTTTGACTCCGCAGCTCACCAGCCGGTTCTGCTGAAACGGGTCCCAGCAGATGTCAAAGATCTGCAGAGATTAGGAAGCTGTTAGTTGGTCTGATCAGAGTGCAGAACGAACGGAAAGAGAAAGAGAGCGTCCTACCCGGTCTGAGTGTCCGGTGGCCGTGGCCAGGATCTTCCCTTTCTTCCACTCCCAGATACAAACCGTGTTCTTTGCGTCCAAACCGACCGAAGCCAACCTCTGAGAAGAAACAGGAAATATTTCCTCTGAGAAAGAAAACAATCCACAGGCAGAAAGAAACTAGCTGCCAGTTTCTGTGTTCAGGTTCAGAGGGGAGGAAACAGGACTCTGATGATGATGAGGAGGGATTCTCCTCCTCCTGAGAGGGAGAGTTGATCTCAGCTTTCCATCAGATCTTCAGTTTAACCTTCTGACGTATTGCTGTGAGAGCTACAGCAGGTTCCTTTGGTTCTGGTTCAGGAGAACATTGTCCTCAAGAGCGCACCCAAAAGTTTGGTTTAGGCTCCAATCTAAACCTAAACTTAATTCATACCTTATAGTCCTAAACCCAAGGATAGTGAAAAAAGGAAGCAAAAGTTCAGATGGTGAGAGAGGAAAACTGGTCCTCACTCTGGTACCAAAACAGGAATCTTAATAATGAATCATACAGATAAAACTTAACTTTGATTTATTATTAAGTGGATTGTTGGTCAGCACCAAGCCCTGTCGGCGTATCACAGCTAGGCCACCCCCAAGACCCCTGCTGCGAGCTCTCTCCAGGTAGCTGTAACCGGGGGGGTAGACTTCATTAAGGGCTGAATAGACCCCTGGCTGTAGCCATGTTTCTGTGAGACACATGACGTCTATTTGCTTGTCTGCGATGTGGTCATGTAGGAAGTGTCTTTTCAGCTGTTATGTACGGTGGCCCTGAAGTGCAAACTGCAACTACAAATCTAAAAGCGCAATTACATTAAGGAAATCGCAACTACATAAAGCAAAGCGCAACTACATTAAGGAAATCGCAACTACATTAACCTACCGGAAAAGGTAGGTACCAGTGGGAAACATGAGACATCGCTGATTGGACGACGGCGCCGTTTGACCCTTGAACCGGAAGTTGCGTCGTCTGAACAGTCCAGCTTCTTTTAAGTGTGTCTTCAGTGTACGCAAACTAACTGAAATTTGGTGATCAGTCTTGAGCATATCCAGTATCGCCTCGTACGTATGTCCTGATTCAAAATATTCCTGGATAACGGCAGCTATGTTTGGGGGGCCGACAATATCCATGTTTTCAAAAGCCGCAGCAGGCAGAATGACTTCCGGTTCAAGGGTCAAACGGTGCCGTCGTCCAATCAGCGATGTCTCATGTTTCCCGCTGTTACCTACCTTTTCCGGTAGGTTAATGTAATTGTGTTTTCCTTAATGTAGTTGCGATTTCCTTAATGTAGTTGCGCTTTGCTTTATGTAGTTGCGATTTCCTTAATGTAGTTGCGCTTTGCTTTATGTAGTTGCGATTTCCTTAATGTAGCTGCGCTTTGCTTTATGTAGTTGAAATTTCCTTAATGTAGTTGCGCTTTGCTTTATGTAGTTGCGATTTCCTTAATGTAGTTGCGCTTTGCTTTATGTAGTTGCGATTTCCTTAATGTAGTTGCGCTTTGCTTTATGTAGTTGCAATTTCCTTAATGTAGTTGCGCTTTGCTTTATGTAGTTGCGATTTCCTTAATGTAATTGCGCTTAGCTTTATGTAGTTGCGATTTCTTTAATGTAGTTGCGTTTTGCTTTATGTAGTTTTGTTTTTCTTAATGTAGTTGCTCTTTGCTTTATGTAGTTGCGATTTCCTTAACGTAGTTGCGCTTTGCTTTATGTAGTTGCGATTTCCTTAATGTAGTTGCGCTTTGCTTTATGTAGTTGAAATTTCCTTAATGTAGTTGCGCTTTGCTTTATGTAGTTGCGATTTCCTTAATGTAGTTGCGCTTTGCTTTATGTAGTTGCGATTTCCTTAATGTAGTTGCGCTTTGCTTTATGTAGTTGCGATTTCCTTAATGTAGTTGCGCTTTGCTTTATGTAGTTGAAATTTCCTTAATGTAGTTGCGCTTTGCTTTATGTAGTTGCGATTTCCTTAATGTAGTTGCGCTTTGCTTTATGTAGTTGCGATTTCCTTAATGTAGTTGCGCTTTGCTTTATGTAGTTGCGATTTCCTTAATGTAGTTGCGCTTTGCTTTATGTAGTTGCGATTTCCTTAATGTAGTTGCGATTTGCTTTATGTAGTTGTAATTTCCTTAATGTAGTTGCGCTTTGCTTTATGTAGTTGCGATTTCCTTAATGTAGTTGGGCTTTGCTTTATGTAGTTGCGATTTCCCTAATGTAGTTGCGCTTTGCTTTATGTAGTTGAAATTTCCTTAATGTAGTTGCGCTTTGCTTTATGTAGTTGCGATTTCCTTAATGTAGTTGCGCTTTGCTTTATGTAGTTGCGATTTCCTTAATGTAGTTGCGCTTTGTTTTATGTAGTTGCGATTTCCTTAATGTAGCTACGCTTTGCTTTATGTAGTTGAAATTTCCTTAATGTAGTTGCGCTTTGCTTTATGTAGTTGCGATTTCCTTAATGTAGTTGCGCTTTGCTTTATGTAGTTGCGATTTCCTTAATGTAGTTGCGCTTTGCTTTATGTAGTTGCAATTTTCTTAATGTAGTTGCGCTTTGCTTTATGTAGTTGCGATTTCCTTAATGTAATTGCGCTTAGCTTTATGTAGTTGCGATTTCTTTAATGTAGTTGCGTTTTGCTTTATGTAGATTTGTTTTTCTTAATGTAGTTGCGCTTTGCTTTATGTAGTTGCGATTTCCTTAACGTAGTTGCGCTTTGCTTTATGTAGTTGCGATTTCCTTAATGTAGTTGCGCTTTGCTTTATGTAGTTGAAATTTCCTTAATGTAGTTGCGCTTTGCTTTATGTAGTTGCGATTTCCTTAATGTAGTTGCGCTTTGCTTTATGTAGTTGCGATTTCCTTAATGTAGTTGCGCTTTGCTTTATGTAGTTGCGATTTCCTTAATGTAGTTGCGCTTTGCTTTATGTAGTTGAAATTTCCTTAATGTAGTTGCGCTTTGCTTTATGTAGTTGCGATTTCCTTAATGTAGTTGCGCTTTGCTTTATGTAGTTGCGATTTCCTTAATGTAGTTGCGCTTTGCTTTATGTAGTTGCGATTTCCTTAATGTAGTTGCGCTTTGCTTTATGTAGTTGCGATTTCCTTAATGTAGTTGCGATTTGCTTTATGTAGTTGTAATTTCCTTAATGTAGTTGCGCTTTGCTTTATGTAGTTGCGATTTCCTTAATGTAGTTGCGCTTTGCTTTATGTAGTTGCGATTTCCCTAATGTAGTTGCGCTTTGCTTTATGTAGTTGAAATTTCCTTAATGTAGTTGCGCTTTGCTTTATGTAGTTGCGATTTCCTTAATGTAGTTGCGCTTTGCTTTATGTAGTTGCGATTTCCTTAATGTAGTTGCGCTTTGCTTTATGTAGTTGCGATTTCCTTAATGTAGTTGCGCTTTGCTTTATGTAGTTGCGATTTCCTTAATGTAGTTGCGCTTTGCTTTATGTAGTTGCGATTTCCTTAATGTAGTTGCGCTTTGCTTTATGTAGTTGTAATTTCCTTAATGTAATTGCGCTTAGCTTTATGTAGTTGCGATTTCTTTAATGTAGTTGCGTTTTGCTTTATGTAGTTTTGTTTTTCTTAATGTAGTTGCTCTTTGCTTTATGTAGTTGCGATTTCCTTAACGTAGTTGCGCTTTGCTTTATGTAGTTGCGATTTCCTTAATGTAGTTGCGCTTTGCTTTATGTAGTTGAAATTTCCTTAATGTAGTTGCGCTTTGCTTTATGTAGTTGCGATTTCCTTAATGTAGTTGCGCTTTGCTTTATGTAGTTGCGATTTCCTTAATGTAGTTGCGCTTTGCTTTATGTAGTTGCGATTTCCTTAATGTAGTTGCGCTTTGCTTTATGTAGTTGAAATTTCCTTAATGTAGTTGCGCTTTGCTTTATGTAGTTGCGATTTCCTTAATGTAGTTGCGCTTTGCTTTATGTAGTTGCGATTTCCTTAATGTAGTTGCGCTTTGCTTTATGTAGTTGCGATTTCCTTAATGTAGTTGCGCTTTGCTTTATGTAGTTGCGATTTCCTTAATGTAGTTGCGATTTGCTTTATGTAGTTGTAATTTCCTTAATGTAGTTGCGCTTTGCTTTATGTAGTTGCGATTTCCTTAATGTAGTTGGGCTTTGCTTTATGTAGTTGCGATTTCCCTAATGTGGTTGCGCTTTGCTTTATGTAGTTGAAATTTCCTTAATGTAGTTGCGCTTTGCTTTATGTAGTTGCGATTTCCTTAATGTAGTTGCGCTTTGCTTTATGTAGTTGCGATTTCCTTAATGTAGTTGCGCTTTGTTTTATGTAGTTGCGATTTCCTTAATGTAGCTACGCTTTGCTTTATGTAGTTGAAATTTCCTTAATGTAGTTGCGCTTTGCTTTATGTAGTTGCGATTTCCTTAATGTAGTTGCGCTTTGCTTTATGTAGTTGCGATTTCCTTAATGTAGTTGCGCTTTGCTTTATGTAGTTGCAATTTTCTTAATGTAGTTGCGCTTTGCTTTATGTAGTTGCGATTTCCTTAATGTAATTGCGCTTAGCTTTATGTAGTTGCGATTTCTTTAATGTAGTTGCGTTTTGCTTTATGTAGATTTGTTTTTCTTAATGTAGTTGCGCTTTGCTTTATGTAGTTGCGATTTCCTTAACGTAGTTGCGCTTTGCTTTATGTAGTTGCGATTTCCTTAATGTAGTTGCGCTTTGCTTTATGTAGTTGAAATTTCCTTAATGTAGTTGCGCTTTGCTTTATGTAGTTGCGATTTCCTTAATGTAGTTGCGCTTTGCTTTATGTAGTTGCGATTTCCTTAATGTAGTTGCGCTTTGCTTTATGTAGTTGCGATTTCCTTAATGTAGTTGCGCTTTGCTTTATGTAGTTGAAATTTCCTTAATGTAGTTGCGCTTTGCTTTATGTAGTTGCGATTTCCTTAATGTAGTTGCGCTTTGCTTTATGTAGTTGCGATTTCCTTAATGTAGTTGCGCTTTGCTTTATGTAGTTGCGATTTCCTTAATGTAGTTGCGCTTTGCTTTATGTAGTTGCGATTTCCTTAATGTAGTTGCGCTTTGCTTTATGTAGTTGCGATTTCCTTAATGTAGTTGCGATTTTCTTTATGTAGTTGTAATTTCCTTAATGTAGTTGCGCTTTGCTTTATGTAGTTGCGATTTCCTTAATGTAGTTGCGCTTTGCTTTATGTAGTTGCGATTTCCCTAATGTAGTTGCGCTTTGCTTTATGTAGTTGAAATTTCCTTAATGTAGTTGCGCTTTGCTTTATGTAGTTGCGATTTCCTTAATGTAGTTGCGCTTTGCTTTATGTAGTTGCGATTTCCTTAATGTAGTTGCGCTTTGCTTTATGTAGTTGCGATTTCCTTAATGTAGTTGCGCTTTGCTTTATGTAGTTGCGATTTCCTTAATGTAGTTGCGCTTTGCTTTATGTAGTTGCGATTTCCTTAATGTAGTTGCGCTTTGCTTTATGTAGTTGTAATTTCCTTAATGTAGTTGCGCTTTGCTTTATGTAGTTGCGATTTCCCATATTGTAGTTACGCTTTGCTTTATGTAGTTACAATTTCCCTAATGTAGTTGCGCTTTGCTTTATGTAGTTGCGATTTCCTTAATGTAGTTGCGCTTTGCTTTATGTAGTTGCGATTTCCTTAATGTAGTTGCGCTTTGCTTTATGTAGTTGCGATTTCCTTAATGTAGTTGCGCTTTGCTTTATGTAGTTGCGATTTCCTTAATGTAGTTGCGCTTTGCTTTATGTAGTTGCGATTTCCTTAATGTAGTTTTTCTTTGCTTTATGTAGTTGCGATTTCCTTAATGTAGTTGCGCTTTGCTTTATGTAGTTGCAATTTCCTTAATGTAGTTGCGCTTTGCTTTATGTAGTTGCGATTTCCTTAATGTAGCTGCGCTTTGCTTTATGTAGTTGAAATTTCCTCAATGTAGTTGCGCTTTGCTTTATGTAGTTGCGATTCCCTTAATGTAGTTGCGCTTTGCTTTATGTAGTTGCGATTTCCTTAATGTAATTGCGCTTAGCTTTATGTAGTTGCGATTTGTTTAATGTAGTTGCGCTTTGCTTTATTTAGTTTTGTTTTTCTTAATGTAGTTGCGCTTTGCTTTATGTAGTTGCGATTTCCTTAACGTAGTTGCGCTTTGCTTTATGTAGTTGCGATTTCCTTAATGTAGTTGCGCTTTGCTTTATGTGGTTGCGATTTCCTTAACGTAGTTGCGCTTTGCTTTATGTAGTTGCGATTTCCTTAATGTAGTTGCGCTTTGCTTTATGTAGTTGCGATTTCCTTAATGTAGTTGCGCTTTGCTTTATGTAGTTGCGATTTCCTTAATGTAGTTGCGCTTTGCTTTATGTAGTTGCGATTTCCTTAATGTAGTTACGCTTTGCTTTATGTAGTTGCGATTTCCTTAATGTAGTTGCGCTTTGCTTTATGTAGTTGCGATTTCCTTAATGTAGTTGCGCTTTGCTTTATGTAGTTGCGATTTCCTTAATGTAGTTACGCTTTGCTTTATGTAGTTGTGATTTCCTTAATGTAGTTGCGCTTTGCTTTATGTAGTTGTAATTTCCTTAATGTAGTTGCGCTTTGCTTTATGTAGTTGCGATTTCCTTAATGTAGTTGCGCTTTGCTTTATGTAGTTGCGATTTCCTTAATGTAGTTGCGCTTTGCTTTATGTAGTTGCGATTTCCTTAATGTAGTTGCGCTTTGCTTTATGTAGTTGCGATTTCCTTAATGTAATTGCGCTTAGCTTTATGTAGTTGCGATTTCTTTAATGTAGTTGCGCTTTGCTTTATGTAGTTTTGTTTTTCTTAATGTAGTTGCGCTTTGCTTTATGTAGTTGCGATTTCCTTAACGTAGTTGCGCTTTGCTTTATGTAGTTGCGATTTCCTTAATGTAGTTGCGCTTTGCTTTATGTGGTTGCGATTTCCTTAACGTAGTTGCGCTTTGCTTTATGTAGTTGCGATTTCCTTAATATAGTTGCGCTTTGCTTTATGTAGTTGCGATTTCCTTAATGTAGTTGCGCTTTGCTTTATGTAGTTGCGATTTCCTTAATGTAGTTGCGCTTTTAGATTTTTAGTTGCAGTTTACACTTCAGGGCCACCGTAGTTACGATTCGGTTCCAGGCTTTCCGATTCGGTTCCAGCCGTTCTGGTTCTCTCTTGGCAGTTCTGCTCCAAGAGGTGCAGGTTCTGAAGGAAGCAGATTCTCTGAGCAGAACCGCTAACAGAAGTCTGAGAAAAATGATTGGAGCATCAGAGAATCAGTAAGACGTCCTAACCTGACCTCTGACCTCTTAGAACAGTGTGAATAGAGAGTGGAACCTGTCCTCCTGTCAGACTAACCGGAACCAGGTGGAACCGCTGCATCGCTTTTCAGAGTAAATATTTAGCTTTAATTCACCTGCAGGACGATGTTAACAATGTCTGAAGCTGCTGAACTGATATTTCATCCTCTAATTTTCATTCATTTGTTTCGATAAACGGGAACAGAAACACTCTGCTTCATATCCTTTGAGGTCAAAGGTTATTTCATCTCCTTATTGATTAATGGACACATTTAGAGGCTGCTTTACAAATATTTAACTTTTAATCTCATTCATATTTACATTCTCATCACATCATCTGTGTGAGAGAAACACAAATGTTTGTCATCGATCTTTATCTCTCGTTTTCAGTTTGTGTCTAAACTCTGAATTATTTAATAATCTCCAGTTCTAACATGATAGTTCAGATTAAACTCTGATTAAATTAAACTGAATAATAGACAGGTGTGATATTAAAGCTGATTAGCGTTTGTTTGTCTCACCTGTCCGTCGGCGCTAAAGGCGAGGCAGGCGATGCCGTGTGTGTGTCCGTCCCGCAGAAGGGAGACGGTTTGCACGGTGAAGGAGTCCCACACACACACATAGGGATCCTTCCCCACCTGACCCGTCGCCACCAGGGAGCGCTCTGGGTGCAGCGCCAGGCTGAGGGGTAAAGGGGGAGATACAGGCGTGAATAATAATGTTAGTTACCGAGAAAATACACCAAGAGGTTAGATGATCAGATAAGGTTTGGTTAAATGTTCTATAAATGTTCCTTAGATGTTCTTCTAGGTCAGATTAAAACATTAAAACAGAATCATTTCTAGATGCATTTTAAGTATCAGCCATAAAAAAGGGCTAAATCCCCTCCAACTTCCAACCACTTGCCTTCTGGCCAAGGATCAGCCAAGGACCAGTCAAGGACCAGCCAAGGACCAATCAAGGACCAGCCAGAGACCAGCCAAGGACCAGTCAAGGTACAACCAAGGACCAATCAAGGACCAGCCAGAGACCAGCCAAGGACCAGTCAAGAACCAGTCAAGGACCAGCCAAGGACCAGTTAAGGAGCAGCCAAGGACTGGCCAATGACCAGCCAAGAACCAGTCAAGGACCAGCCAAGGACCAGTTAAGGAGCAGCCAAGGACTGGCCAATGACCAGCCAAGGACCAGTTAAGGAGCAGCCAAGGACTAGCCAAGGAGCAGCCAAGGACTAGCCAAGGACCAGCCAAGGACTAGCCAAGGACCAGCCAGAGACCAGCCAAGGACCAGTCAAGAACCAGTCAAGGATCAGCCAAGGACCAGTCAAGGTACAACCAAGGACCAGCCAGGAACCAGCCAAGGACCAGCCAAGGACCAATCAAGGACCAGCCAGAGACCAGCCAAGGACCAGTCAAGGTACAACCAAGGACCAATCAAGGACCAGCCAGAGACCAGCCAAGGACCAGTCAAGAACCAGTCAAGGACCAGCCAAGGACCAGTTAAGGAGCAGCCAAGGACTAGCCAAGTGACCAGCCGAAGGACCAGGGTTAAGGATCAGCCAAGTACTAGCCAAGGAGCAGCAATGACTAGCCAAGACCAGCCAAGACTAGCCAAGGACCAGCCAAGGACAGCCAGAGACCAGCGGACAGTGACCAGCCAAGGACCAGCAAGGAGCAGCGACAGCCAAGGACCAAGGACCAGTCAAGAACCAGCCGGACATCAAGGCTACCATCACAAGGACCGCAGAGACCAGCCAAGGAGTCTAGGTCACAAGGACCAATCAGGCTAAGGACCAGCCAAGGGTCAAGACCAGCAGCCAGCAAGGACCAGTCAAGGAGCAGCCAAGGAGGCAAGAGCCAAGACCTAAGGAGCAGCCAGAGATAGCCAAGCCAAGGCAATGACTAGCCAAGGACCAGCCAAGGACTAGCCAAGGACCAGCCAAGGACCAGCCAGAGACCAGCCAAGGACCAGTCAAGAACCAGCCAAGGACCAGTTAAGGACCAGCCAAGGACTAGCCAAGGACCAGTTAAGGACCAGTCAAGAACCAGCCAAGGACCAGTCAAGGACTAGCCAAGGAGCAGCCAAGGACCAGCCAGAGACCAGCCAAGGACTAGCCAAGGACCAGCCAAGGACCAGCCAGAGACCAGCCAAGGACCAGCCAAGGACCAGTTAAGGACCCGCCAAGGACTAGCCAAGGACCAGTTAAGGACCAGTCAAGGACCAGTCAAGGGTCCATCAAGGAAAGTGGGGAAATGTTGAGCGGCTTCTACTGTATTGACTTCAGGAGAACATGAACATCTGGGAGCTGATGAAGATAAAACAATATAAGTCAATCAAACATTTGAATCAAGCGAGTGTTTCTGTGATTTGGTCCAAAGCAGTAAAGACCGAGTCTCTGAGGATAAAGATCTTCTGAGGGTCTACAGTTTGATTAAATAAAAGAAGTTCATCAGAAACCATGAGAGGAATCTGCATGTTTCTCCCACTAAAGGTCAGAAGAACATCAAACCATCCAGGAATCTTGAGGAACTTCAGCAGAATGTAAACATGTCTGATCTCTCAGAAATATTTCATCCATCCCATCCTGACAGAACCACCTGGATCAGCATCACTCTGGATAACCTTTATCCTGCTTTACATCCGTCATCTTCTCAGTTTGCTGAGCAGAGAAGAAGACCTGATGATCCCACCAAAGGAGGAGTTCTGAGGGACAGTCCATGGCTGCAGGGATGGAGCATCATGGACCAACAGTTCTCCAGATGTTTGGCTATCAGCAACCACCTCTGATGGCAGCAACATCTTCTTGTGTTCTAGACGACGGGCTGAGGAAGAGGAGCTGAGGCAACATGGAGGAACTCACAATGAAAGGAATTTCCTCTCAGTTTTATTTCTGATTGTTTTTTTGCAGAGAGTAGTTTTGTTTCTGCATAGGAAGCCTGATCTTTGCACAGAAGCATGAAGTTTGTAACTAAAGGCCCCCCACCCCCCCACCCAGCTGTGTTTAAACAGAACAGGTGTGTCAGCCTCAAAGCTTCATTGATCTCTCTCACGCCTGCTTGCAGAATCTCTCCCCATCCTCGCAGCCAATCAGGATGCTGGCGCGTCGCCATGACAACCGTATCACCAAGGGTGGCGAAGCAGCGGGCTGTGAAGTCAAGGTCAAACATGACGAGGAAGAGAACGCTGCCCTGGATGGATGATACCTGCTGCCGAATCATTTCCATCTTTAATAACCGTTCTGTCCGAGTATCACCCGGGAAAACCGCCGTTTGATAAACAAACGTTCTCTTTTTAATTCTGGAACTTGTTCTATTTGTTTAGATCGTTTTACTTTCTTTATTTCAGATAAAGATAATAAAACTACATTAATATGAATTAAACTGGACTCCTGGGGGTCCGGTTCAGATCTCTCCTTGGGCTCACATAGAGACAGGAGGGGACCGGGCCCGGGGGCCCGAGGTCTGGGGACCCTTAGAAGTTATTGTTGTTTTCCTTTTATTAAAAGGAAATTAACTGATGAGAAACTCAGAAAAAAACAGCAAAGAGAGAAGAAGGACTAAAACGAATATAGAGAGAAATTCAGACTTTTACATATGGAGATAAATCTGTCTTAATATTTAGAAATAAACAGATGTGATACACACACACACACACACACAGCACATGATTCACAAAAGTATTTATGGTCCATAAACAATTATAAATCCAATTAGAAAGCACCAGAGGTCTTTGAACTTCGTCATTAGTGGTTATTAGTCCCATTGAACGGCTTCAGATTGAGCCAAGAGGCTCAGTAGGTTGTTATCTTCGACTGAATCCTGATCCAACCCTAAAGTCATTCCTTCCCTCCCACGGAATTAATGAATCTATTTTTTTTTTTTGAACAAAGACTTTATTTTATCAGATCCATATTAAAAATCAATGAAAAGTCAGAAACAACAACTTCCAATACAACCATACAAACAATTGAGTAACAACAACAAAACAGGTTGGCAAGCTGGAATCCATGTTTTGTTTTTTATTATAATTTTTTTTCTTTTATTTTCTTACTTGGGGGATAAAATAAAGGAAAAATCGTTCTTGAGTGACTTTTATTTGAGATATATATTAAGTATGCCTGTAAAACATGTACCTGTGTGTTTACATTTATCTTACTTACTACAATATTAACTGGAAATATGTTTTTAAAGGGTTCCATCTTTTCTCAAATAAACCAGCGGAAGTTTAATTTTGCTGTTATTTTCTCCATCCTATAAACGTTCACTAGTTTCTCTTTCCATTGATTTACAGAAGGGGGTAAAGGTTTACACCAATGAATCTATTAATGTGTAATCTGAATATAATCTCAGGAGTTCTTCATGTGCTGTAAAAATAAAATGATCCGCATGTTGCTCATATTAAACAAACTAAAATGAAATAAATCTAATATCCCGTCAGTTGGGATGTAGAATCCTCTCCCTATAGATATTTAATCATCTGTGAAAAAATGCAGATCTTTCTTTAATAAGATCCTCATCTAACGGACATGCAATGTTTGTTTCTAAAACCGTGTGTAACGGATCTAGTGGATGATTCTTTTCGTTGTTTTTTGCACAAACTACAAATAAAACCTAAATCGCGAAAAATAAAACAGCGTGATTGAATGTAAGGAGAGCGGAGACTCATTTAGCTCCATATTATTTACTTAATTATCACTTAAGCCTAAACCTCAGCTCAATTTAAACCTTAGACTAAACTTACTGTTAGAAAATATGAACTTTGGTAAAAACGGTCCTCACTCTGATGGTAAAACAGTGATATTTCTAAAGTAAGGGATGTGAGGTTTATATCAGTCTGTCTGTGTTTGTGAGGACGGCGTCCATCAGAGAGTCAGAGCCAGAAAACTATGAAAAAAACTGAAATTATTTAACAATTTATGAAATTATGACAATTAATGAAAACTAAATAATAAAGGAACCAGAATTATTTTTTTAATCCAAAATGACTAACAGCAGCAGCAGAACAAAACGATTTAAGAACCAATAAACCAGAAACGGATGAAGACTAAAGTTCAGGATCCCAAAATGATTTTAAAAAGCCTCCAAGATGAAACGACTCATAAATAAATAGAACAAGCTGAACCTCCAGTAAGTCGTCTCTGTGACCTCTGACCTCCTGCAGGCTGATGTTTAACCTCCCAGTTCCCTTCAGGAACCAGCCAACCTGCAGCGTGCGCTGAAATCGGTTTTCTTTCTGGCAGCCAGTGGAATCAGGACAGGTCTATAAATAGATCAGAGGAACTCCTCCTGTGAGGATGAATGTGTTTTCATGCAGAACAAAACAAAAACCTGCTTTTTTTTATCCCTGTCAGAAGCAAAACGAGCCGCAGGAGGGTCTATGAAAACATTTCCATATTAAACAGCATCTGCTGCTTCAAGCTAAACATCAGAGATGAGGATAAGATCCAGACCGTGATGTCAGAGGCGCCGACTCTCAGGTTTTCACTTCATGCAGAGGGGAAGGAACAGATCTGATCCAACGGATTACAGCTTGGTTAACACAATTCAATTCTATTCAGTTTATTTCTATAGCGCCAATTCACAACACATCATCTCAGGTCACTTTATAGAGAAAATGGCGAGAGCATTTCTTTTCCTCGGCCTACTTGTGAGATGAAATACTTAATAGGAGCGAGTTCAGAGAAA